CCCCCCCCTTCTTCTCTCTCTGGCTCTGCAGCTGCAGTCGTCTTCGGTGTTCAGCAGCAGGCTCAGGCGTCTTCTCTTTGCGTTTGAGTTTGCTTCTGCTGCTGCTGCTGCTGCTGCTGCTGCTTCTCTTCTTCCTTGCTGGTCTTTCAGACAGCAAAGTCTGTCGGCGCTCCTGCAGCAACAACTGCAGCAGCAACTGCAGCAACAACTGCAGCAACAACTGCAGCAGCTGCTGCTGCAGCAACTGCAGCAGCAGCTTTTGCCTTCTGCCTTTTTCAGCTGTTCGTGTTTGCTGTTTCTTTTTGCTTCCTCATTATCAGCAGCAGCAGCAGCAGCAGCAGCAGCAGCAACAGCAGCAGCAGCAGCAGCAACAGGAGCAGGAGCAGGTGCATGGTAATCATCATCACCAGCATAATAATAATAATAATAATCATCAGCATCATCATCATCATCAGCAGCAGCAGCAGCATCACCAGCAGCAGCAGCAGCAGCAGCAGCAGCAGCAGGAGCAGCAGCAGGAGGAGAAGAAGATGCTGCTAGAGATGGTGACAAAGTACTGGGGTTTGCCCCTATGGATGGTGTGCCCTGGTGCTGAGCCTCACGTACAGAGACAGTATATATCTTTACGTTTTCCTGTTGGTTGTTTTTGTTGTTTTAGGTTGCCGCGGGGTGTATTGGGAGTTCGGCTATGTTTAGATATATTATTTTATTATGAGTTGATTACTACTTTCTTTTGTGCTGTAGCTACAGCATCTCACCTGTGTGTATTATGTTATTCTTTATTATATACAAACACAAACAGCAGCAGCAGCAGCAGCAGCAGCAGCAGCAACAGCAGCAGCAGCAGCAGCAGCAGCAGCAGCAGNAGCAGCAGCAGCAGCAGCAGCAGCAGCAACAGCAGCAGCAGCAGCAGCAGCAGCAGCAGCAGCAGTATGAGTATAAACAACACGAACGAGATAAATATATTGAGCAGTAACATAAATATAAACAACAACAACAACAATACAATAGAGAGCTCACCATATTTCCCGCTGCTGCTGCTGCTGTTTTCTCTCGCTCTGCTGCGGCTCATCTGCTGCTGCTATATACTAGAAAGATTAAGAGACCTCCGGTTGGTTTGGTTTTCTCGGCCTGTAGAGAGAGAAGTTGCTGCGTTGCTGCGGTGTATAGGGTGGCAGCTATCGCATATATGTTCATGTATATCTTCTGTTGTTATGTTTATTGCTTTATATATATTATATAAAGATAATCATAATTATTATTATTATTGTATAAATACATCTCCTCTTCTTTGTCACTATATATATATTCTGCTGCTGTGTTTTCTCTCTCTTTTGGGGCCCAGTATCATCATCTTTGTTGCTTCTGCTGCTGCTCTTCTTGCTTCTTGCTGCTTCTCTCAGCAGCAGATTGCTGCTCTCTTTCTTAGTGAGCCTGTGGGTAACTACAGCCTCCCGCTGCACCTGCTGCAGAAGCTAAAGGAGCAGACATGGGCGCAGCTGCGGTGTACGTACACCCCAGCACATGCAGGAGAAACAACAACAGCAGCAGGAACAGATGGAGATACAGATGCAGCAACAGCAACAGCAACAACAACAGCAGCAGCAGCAGCAGCAGGAGCAGGAGCAACAGATAGAAATTCTCTTTCTGCTGCTGCTGCTGCTGCTGCTGCTGCTCCCCCAGGTGTCTTTGATGCTGCTGTATGCTCCATATGTTTGTGTGACTACCAACCAGAAGAACTGATTCGTACTCTTCCTTGCGGCCATCTTTTTCATTCTGTTTGTATCACCAGGTGGTTTAGATCGCATGCATCTTGCCCTTTACGTTGTTCTATTTCTTTTGGCTTGACGACGGATCAGCAGCAGAGACGGTATCCTTATGCTGCAGCAGCAGCAGCAGCAGCTGGTGGTGGTGGTGCTGCTGCTGCTGCTGCAGCGCCAAGTTCTGCTGCTGCTGGTTCTGGGACGCTCTATGCGGGGTCGATAACAGCAGATATACAGCTGACAGATGCAGGCAATGAGGGATTAGAGAGGCTGTCGCCTCATGGTGCTGCTGCTGCTGCTGCTGCTGCTTCTGCAGCAGCAGCAGCAGCAGATTCCGACGATGATGACGCAGCAGCAGCAGAAGTAAATGACTGCGTGGTACCTTGTTTGGTGAGGAGTTGGAGCCGGTAGGCGTGGGCTGTACATACAGCTCTGATGCGGAGAGGGAGTATATATATATATATATATATATATATAT